TTTGATTACAGGGCAGTATAAGAAAAATGTGCTGTATGTTCCCTATTATTAAAGCTGCTTTTGGAGCTGTGTGTTTGCCTGCCTAAGGGATTTTAATAAATATTAGTAATAGCCAGCTGGCTTGCAAGGACTTTTTGGTGCTTTTAGTCTCCCTCCTCCTTCTCCTCTTCCTTCTCCTCTGTAGGATAAAGGAAAGGTGCAGCTAAATGGTTCATCCTATAATAGTAGAAGCAAAAAATTTGAAAGGTCTGGTGTTAGCAAAATCCATGAAGCCCCCATTTGAAAAGACCTATTTCCTTGTTACAGGCTTTGTTTTCAATTTAAAAAATGACTAGGAAAAGAAAGAAGGAAAAAATCGCAATGGCAAAGCTCTACTATTCATTGTTTTTGATTATTTTTATCAATGCTAAAAATATAAACCCTATTGCATTGTGCTGAAGCAGTTGGAAAATGTTCAATAATATTAAAAAATATTTATGAACAAATTTCTCCATTTTTCCAGGAAATATTAACTCTAGCTGCTTATATTATTAATTTTGTATTGGCTGTCTGTCAGTTTCTTTGATGGCTGCATTTTTGTTATTGTTTTTTATATTAATATGACTATTGATGATCATTCTCATTAAGCATTGCCTGGGTATTTGAAAGGGGGGCAGTTTATGATATTATTACATAGAAAAATAAATAATTGTAAATAAAGGCCAATTCTCAACCACTCTGGTTTCTGTTTCACATGTACCTGTCTGAGTTCTGCCCCAAAAAACCAGAACATCCACATTGGTTTTTATCACTCTGAAAAGCACACTAATCATATAGAAATATTTGGAGATGGAGTTATATCATCAAATGTTACCGTACTTTAGGGGAAGCATGTTCTAGGTTCCCATCTAGAATGGGGAAGTTTATGGGTGCAATTCAAGATTATGGTTGCCATCTTTAAACCTTCATGGTTTAAAGCCTACTTCTCTGAGGAATTGCCTTTCTCCAATTGTTTCTGCCTACACAGTATTTTGGGGCAGAGTAGTAGTGCTCCATATTCATTCAATTTCATGCCATCTTGCAGGAGTGAAGTAAACTGCCTTCTCTGTTGTGGATTTCAATCTTTGGAATAGCATTCCCCAGACATTTGGAAGGCACCTCTCTCTTGAGGCTCCAGAAAGCCCTTAAGATGCCTGTATTCTCAATCCTGGGGTTAATGTTAATTTACTGGTCAAGTTCCTATTGTATTGTTTTCGTATTGCCAATTGTTCTAGTTATTTTAGTCTAAACTGACTGTTTTTGTGATTTTAACTTTTTAAATTGTTTTACTCTTTTTATGGATGTTGTAAGAATATTCTGAAGTGAGCAGCCATATTAAATCAATGCATGAAATTAATTACAGCAAAATGTTCAACTTGAAGATTTCATTGAAGCATACCCCAATAGTCTGTAGACTAGAGACTGCAAGAGATAAAATTAAGCAGTAAAACATCCTTTGGTAACTTTAACCAAGCATAATATGCCGTATTCCATGCATGGGAATTTCTTTAAAGAGTTCATGACTTTTGAAGGACATTCTGAAAGCAACATTTCTCTCAAAAAGTTCTTTGAAAATGTATAAAATAATATTGGAGAATGTATTTGCCTAAACAAAATTAATCCTGCATTTCATCTTGTTTCAGCCTTTGGTATTAGCTCCACTGATGCTTTTGTATTTATGTAGCTGAGAATATGGGACAGAAAGAAAAAGGAATGAAATGCAGGATTTATTCCACTTAGAGAGGTACTATATATTTTGTGCTACCCCTTGCAAGCAGCATCATTCTAAAGGGAATTTTATTTAAACTACTGCCACCAGGATGAGACAAAATCTGGCAGCAACTCATCTAAGAGGTATTTTGTTTTTTGCTCCTTCAGATTTTCTTTTCTTTTTTTAAGAAAAGAATCTTGATTCAGCTTTGCTACAAATTCAGCTGCCAAAATTCAAAAAGTTAGCTAAATTAGCTGGGACTAATTTAAGTTTCATTCATTTCAATAGAGTTTTGACATGGCTAGCTTTCTTTGGATTTGGGCCACTACTTTCCATATTAGTTATTTCACACATCCAGTCAAAATGAATTGGTTTGGACCATAGCCAAGGCCAACACATGAGAGAGAGATGTATACACAGCTCTTCCCCGCCCATCCATCATACTCTCACATCCCTGTCATTTTCACATTAACACTATTAATTCCAAACTGTTCATTCAAATTGGAGGATCACAGAGCTCAAAAGTCATTTAGACCAAAGTTCTGTTGAAGCAGGAAATCTGTGACAACAACTTTCCTAATGGATGGCTATCTAGATATTCTTTCACATTGTCCTTCCCCTTTTATATATATTTTTGGGTACCAGTTGGATTATCTTTTTCTGTATGTAGTGGGGGACATCAGAGATGGCAGATGAAGGGTGGAATGTGATGGGAAGAAGTCATGCTTACCTCTATATTGGCCCCATCTGTAGAAAAATTTAGTGTAATAACATGTGGTATACAGATGTATGTGTGAATCGAACCCAAAGATTGATAAGTGATGTTAACTGGCTAATAGAAGGAAGTTAAACTCAGCCATAGTTTAATGTAGATATTAAGATCCTCTGAGTTGACCTCAATTCCTAGTGACTTGATGGATAACTCATGCAGGACTTTTTGGCAGCATTAACAAGTGGTTTACTGCTGTCTTTTCTTTCTTTTTTTTAATTAAACTCTCTCCAAACTACCCTATATCTCTGGGTTTCCTGATGTTCTCTCACCCAAATGCCAACCAGGTCCTCTTCCTATTTAGCTATCTGGGATCAGGCAGCAACAGTTAGGAAGTTGCACCTGCTGTAGTCTTTAGATTACATAACATAGTACAATGATGCCAGCAAGAGAATAAAACATGCAAACTGAGCAACTTGCTAAATAATAATAAATTGCACAGATTTTCTTATTGTGAGTACAGAATGGGGTGATGAGATGGGGTGGTTAGAATTCAGAATTACTTTAGTATAAAATTTTGACAGAGAGAAAAAATAATGAAAGTGTTGTGAAATTTTTGAAAAAGACTAGATGTTTAGTTGATTTCAAAAGTAACTGTCTATATTCGGTTCTGTTCAAGTTTAGTTTATATATTTTATCTTTCAAGGGTATTTCATTATTTTTGCAGCAAAAATCATTTATGAAATGTACTGTCTTTCTTTTTGGATCCATTCTGTAATGTATCTATCAACCCTACAACATAATATGCAGAAAAATGAATTTCCACCCAGCACAAATAAATCTCCAGGTAGGCTGATACATTAAGTAATACTGGCAGCACAAAATACTTTACAGGTTTGAAAGCAAGCTTTGGACTTTTGCCCACTAGCTCAGCTGAACTCAGTCATGTAACAGTGGAAAAGGAATTTTAGTATAAAAAAAGAGAGGCATCAAGCAGTTACTCATTTAAAACAGAGATGGTGGACAAATGTATTTAGTACATAATTTAATACACATTTTACACTGAATTTCCTAAACTTGCTTCCCTTCCCAGGGGTGAAATCCAGCAGGTTCTGACAGGTTCTGGAGGACCAGTAGCGGAAATTTTGAGTAGTTCAGAGAACCGGCAAATACCACGTCTGGCTGGTCCCAGAGTAAGGTGGGAATGGAGATTTTGCAATATCCTTCCCCCAGGAATGGGGAGGGAATGGGGATTTTGCAGTATCCTTCCCCTGTCATGCCCACCAAGCCATGCCCACAGAACCGGTAGTAAAAAAAATTGGATTTCACCACTGCCCACCCACCCCCCATCTATATATGAATTAGAATGCAGTTATTTACCAATACCCATTAGGAGATGTGTGGACTGAAGTACATAGACATTGTGCTGAAGTAAAAGAGGAATGAAATGAACTCAAGATTGGAAAAATGAAAAACTAGGTAGTATCAGACTTGCTACATTTGCAAAGGTAAGTTGCTGTGATTACTGGTGCTCTGCTAGAGCACTATTGCACCAGTGATTTCACAGTTAGTGTTTTGTAAAGCTCTTGTGATTCACCTATGTCAGACTGATTACTGATGAATTCTTTTGCAGACATTGCTATGTGCCTGACTTCATCACTAACCTCCAACACTACCTACATCTCTTCACTTCCCAAAACAAAATGGTGCAGCTATCACTATTTATATATAACTCAAAATCTTGCTCCTATCCCAAACAATGTGTCTGTCTCTCTCTGTCTCTCTGTTATCTCTCTATATCAATCAATCAATCAATCTATCTATCTTATATGTTCTTCTATGAGATGGACACTGTAGGAGGAGGGAAAATCAACAGTACCTCTGATTCATACTGATAGGAGAGAAAAAAAGAGAGAGAAAAGCCAGATATCTAAATGGAATAATTTCAAACTAAAAACTGAGATAATTTTAAAGCAGCAGAAAAGGAACCAAGAATAGTAAACAAGCTGCTGGCTTTGAAAAGTTTGAAATACGTACACTACCAAGTTAAGAAATCAGGAAAGTAATCTCCCACTTAAAGATATTTTCTGCATTGTATCCTACATGAATTAAACTACTCATAAGCTAACTTGTGGGTAAACGGAGCCCATCAAGCATGTATGGCTAATTTTCTATGACAGAGAAAATATTTAGTTAATAGGTGGAGGGCCAGGATTTGATTCAAGAGCAGTTGAGAATTGATAACCCTGCGGAGGTTTAAAAGTCAGTACCTAATAGTATAAACACATTTTAGGCATTAGAGGATAAAGCCTGACAAAGTGATATGTCACAATATGAAATGTAGTGGACGTGGATAACAGGGAATTTCCCCCCAACCCCTATAAAACAGCTTTCAGTTTTGTATGGTGCATACAAACTGAAATTGCTGAATATCATACATCTACAGTCAATTTGCTGTTATTATTTTATTTAAGGCTATAGATGGTTTCCCCCCCACCTTTTTAAATGGAAAGCAGGCTAATTTCTTGGTTACCAATAATACGGATCCTGGTTTATTTGCAGATCATTCTTAAGAGTTGTTTTAAAACTGAAAATTATGAAGATATGGCGACTCAGAGTAATAAGGTATGTTAAAATGTCTTGTATTACCAAAGACTGCAGAAATGATGAATATATGTGCTTTAAGGCATCCCCATGCTGCTTAGATGGTAAAAGGCATTCAAAATTTTATGAGTCACAAGTTTTACAGATTTGTGTTTCATTAAGGCTTTGCAAACTATGACTATGGGAATCTGCATGAGTGAAAAAAAAACATGGAAAAACATTTAGAAGAATGTAACCTTTTTCAAGAAAAAAAAAGATCCTTTTTTCTGTTATAACAAATGTGTTTTGCCCATTTGTTTCTTAGTTTGCAGCTTACGAACTGTCAGTGTTGCTGTGGTAGTAAAGGAAAAGTGTTTGAGTAGTTATCCAAACCAATTACATTTTTCTCTCACCCTCCCCTCCCTGACAAATTTCAAACCAAAGGTTTTCACTTGAGAATGTTTGGCTTAGGAGTAATCTTGGTACAAAATTACCGATGGGAAGAAAAACCATCTTTCTGCTCCTATCTCTAATGATGGATATATATTTGGGTAAAGTGCTAGAGGTGACCTTGAGAGCTTATCCAAGTAGCCCTCCTCTTTCACTGATTGAAGCTAACCCAATCTAATTTTGTCCAACCTTCAATTAGGGGCTTCCATCAAGGCTATGAGAAGCCTAGGCAATCTGTTCTTCACTTCTTCATTCTTACAACTATAAACATTATTTCTATTATTCACCCTGTATTCCTATAATTGCCCAAGGTGACTGAGCCCGCAGACACCTAGGAGAAAATGATTAGCTGCCTGTGGTGTCTAATTGCTCAGAATAAAGAGAAAGTAGGAAACAGTTGCTGTTCCTTAATCTTTTGACTCCCTGATCAGAGGATTTTTTCCCCTTTGCCTTGCAGACCCCAGATTCCCTACCACTAGCCAACTTTTCTGGTGACATATCCATATTCTTCCCAATGATTACCTTAATGTACAGTCCTCCAGTCCTTGATTTAGCTCAAAAGTATGCTAGCATAGATTATAGTGCCCCAAAGGCCACATTCTAATTTGATTCAAAAACGAGGCTTGCAAGTGGTCCTATTATTGACAGCTTCAGTGCAGGATTATTTATTTATTTATTTATTTATTTATTTATTATATTTCTATACCGCCTTTCTCCCGTAGGACTCAAGGCGGTGTACAGTCAAGAAAAATATAGACACACAAACATCATAAAATTGCTAATTAAAATTATTACTTAGTTTGGTCAATTAAATAAAACCCAGAATTAGATAACATTTAAAAAATCATTCACATGTTTGTATGTTTAGCCCCGCCTGTTGGAACATCAGGGTCTTGAGGGCACGGCGGAAAGCACGGAGATCAGGGATATTCCGTATCTCCGGGGGCAGTTCATTCCAAAGGGTTGGAGCCCCCACAGAGAAGGCCCTCCCCCTGGAGGGCATAATTTGACTGACAGTACCCTGAGTAGTCCCTCCCTGTGAGAACGAACTGGTCTGTGGGAGGCTATTGGTGGCAAAAGACGGTCTCGTAGGTACCCAGGTCCTAAGCCATGGAGCGCTTTAAAGGTGATAACTAACATGATTTAAGGGCAAAGAATGGTGGATTCACCTGGCTTTGCTTCTCTCTCACTCAGCATCAGAAACATCCCGTGGGACAAACTATCACTGATTACATTTTTAACAATGTTATGTTTACTTGAACAACAAGTTTGAGTGAGTATGGAAGAATCCATGAGATAAGGGCCTTAGCCACTTTTTAAGTTGTCCTTGAAAGAGGTCACTTAGAACCCTGTCTAAAAATCCCTGACTGACAAGGAAGGGACGTAGAGGGAAGCAGGAGGAAAGGACTCTGTGTTGGTGCACTGAGAGAGCCCCCTTCAGCTTTATCCTAGGCCTGTACTTTGCCTTCTAGCCAAACTGTTGGATTCTGGCTTATTGGTCTTCCAGAACAGGGATACATTTGTGTTCAATGTAAGAACCCAAGTGAGAACTAGTGACCTGTGACTCAGCCTGGAAGGGGAAACTTGCTGAAGTCTTACCACTTTCACCTGATTTCCCAAATATTCCAAACTCTTTAGTGCGGCAAGAAAGCAGCAATAAATACAGATAATAAGTGGCTGTGGCCAGCTTTACGAGGAAGTCTCCCCTTCTCCTGATTTGCACCTTCAAGTCAGTGGTGGTGGCACCTTGAATTGTCTCTGAAGTTTTCTTGACAAGAATGTGGTTTGCCATTACCTTCTTTCCATGGCTAAGAGAGACTCACTAGCCCAGGGGTGTCAAACTCAAGACCCACAGGACAGATCCGGCCAGTGGGGTCATCCTGGTCTACCCAATGCAAAGAGGAAAGATCGGGCCAGCATGGCTTTGGCCCGGTCAACCCAGTGCAAAGAGGAAAGATCAGGCCAACTTAGCTTCGGCCCAGTCTACCCAATGTGAAGAGGAAAGATCAGGCCAGTGTGGCTTCAGCCCAGTCTACCAAGTGAGAAGAAGAAAGATCAGAGCAGCATAGCTTCTACCCAATGTGAAGAGGAAACATGCCAGCAGTTTTGGGAGTGGCGTCAATCTGACCATGCCCACCCAGTCAGCCACACCCACCCAGTCAGCCATGCCGCCCCCCAAGGTCAACCACAGCCCTTGATGCGGCTTTCAATGAAATTGAGTTTGATACCCCTGCACTAGCCTGATTTATGGATTTGCTGGTTAAAAAGATTTGATTATGTAGAGAAGAGAATCATGCTGTAATTTTAAAGAGAATTAATTTGCTTGTAACTGCTGTAAACAACACTGGAAACTGCTTCTATATAAACATCAGTTAGATTATTTAGAACAGTTAGAACAGTTAATCAGTGGAACAATTTGCCTCCAGAAGTTGAGGGTGCTCCAACACTAGAAATTTTTAAGAAGAGATTGGACAACCATTTGTCTGAAATGATATAGGGCTTCCTGCCTGAGCACTTAGTATGCTAGTAATATTTTTTTTAAAAAACTTAGGTCTACTGTTCTTTCAAAGGAACCACTAATTTACCTTTAAAAACAGTTCTAGGATATTTCCAGAGCAGTGCTTGACCTGTGTATGTAAGGTGAGGTGTCTACCCTGTGTTTCTATAAAAGAGAGGTTGCTTGATTTTTCCTCTAGTTCATGCAGATATGGTCCAACAGAGTAGTTCCCAACAAATGGAAGGGAGGGGGCATCTCTTCAGCACCCAACAACAGCCAATGGGAGTTGGACAGATTTAATGAGGTGTCACTTCAGAACTGGAGGAGCTCAAAACTAACAAATTACCGTTGCAGAGAGATAGGGATAAGATAAGAATAGGTCACGAGGACACAGTAAGTAGGGGCATCTTTAGGCCATGGTTGGTGAGATATGAGAATGAGCCCTCAATGTAAGGTAACCATGGCTTGAAAATTATGTATTTTAATATCAATTATAGATCCAATAAATGACAATAATTGAGCCAAAGGCCTTGACTCTTTAAATTAATTTTGATTAATTGATTATGAATTTTCTCTGGGTATGAAGGAGAAATCCCTAAGAAATAAAATGACATTTCAAACCTTTGGAATTTATGAAGCTACATTAAGAAATAAAGAACATACGTATTAGTAAAAACTTTGTTTTTAAAAAGAAGGCAAAATAGATAGTAAATTAGAAAGCTAGTATCAAGGAAGAAAGTATGTCATCTAATTTATTCTGAAAATTTATTCTTTTTTGGTGCTATTATCTTTGCATGAAACACCTCGTAACTGGTCTAAGATATAAGTGTGTGTGTGTGTGTGTGTGTGTATACACACCTTGAGCATACAGCGGTCATTTGTTTTTATTGAAAAAAATAAAGGTACTAATTACTTATAGACTTACTTAGCACAAACAGATATGCTTCAAAATGAAAAAAAAATTCACAGTTTATGATAATTATGTTCTCTGCTTTGTTTTCAGAGACTGATAATTTGAGGCTTTAAAATCACCAGGAAGCCATTAATTGGAATTCTTCAATAAAAAATAAATTACATAGAAGTTCATGAAGAGTTGTAAAAGCACAGATTTTATTATAGTGAGTGCCACTGAGTCACTGTGTTTATAGGGCAGTACAGATAGTTGGGATTCAGAAGATCCAGTGACCAGATTGGAGATCCGGATACATAAACATCTGCTTAAACCTGTGTCATGAACTTTGCCTGTAATCGTCACATTGTACAAAAGCAAAATATTTTGTAGATGGCAGAAGTGCCACAGAAGGAGTTGGGAGGGAGAGATGATGAAAACAGTTGTACGCTGTTGTGATGCAAGCTTAAGAAAGACATATTTTGAGCAGCAAAAGGCAGGAGATGACTGGAGAGGTGTGAAGTTCTATGCCATCAACTCAGGCTGAATGCTTGAAGGAGGGCAAATGATGAAAATAGCTTAATGCTGCCGTAATGCCAGCTCTCCCCTTTTCTACATGCATTGTGACACACATGGCTGTGTGAAAGGGCCAGAGCTTGCTTTGCCTTCAATTTTATGGATGCCTCTGCTTGTGGACCTGAGGCTCCATATCTTCTGCATCCCAATTTTTTATGCCTCGTGGAGTTCCATAAATTGCCTTGTCAAAATATAGCCTCAGGTCACTGATTTGTACAAGCTTAATATTGCTTTAAAAAATCCCAGTAAAATAAATATGTTAAATATGTTTATTTATAAAGAGATATAAGGTGGTGGTTCAGCCACACCTCTTTGAAGTATGTCACTGAATCATTATCATGTGCTTTTCAGAAGCTTAATAAACCAATATTAGCTCTTGTCCTCCCCCTTCCTCTTCTGCTACTAGTGCAGCATTACAGAAAATTGTTCTATTGTACTTTTTCTCAAGGAAAATTGACCTATGCAGAGTTTTTAGCGAGAAGGCCCAATCAAAATTTAATAGAAGGATTACAGATTTCTGGAACAGAGATATGTCTTATGGGGAGTTTTTTTTTCTGTCTGAAACAATTTTTTTTCCTCAGTGAATTAGTACAGGACCCCAACTCATCAAAAGGCATGATCTGTTGATAAGAAATAGATGCTACCATGCTGCCCATGTCCAAATGAGGAGACTACGGAGAACCAAGCTATATCACCAAAGGTAATGTTTTACACCAGTAATCCAGAGTAGAAGATGTTTTACCCAGAGCACAAATAAATGTCAGTGCTGATTAGTGATTCAAATTCAATTATTCATGGATTATGCTAGGACATTTGGTCATTGATTAAACTATGCAGGCATCATTTGATTCAAAGTCCTGGTCATCTTCCTAAATCCTGGTTTTGAATACATAGATGGAGGGATAAGTGGATGGTTGGGTAGATAGATGAGTGGATGGATAGACGGACAGACAGATGAAGAGACAGACAAACAAATATGCAATTGTATATGCAATCTGCATTTTAATTTTGAATCCACTTTATATTGACTTTCTAGAAGGGAACTGAAGAAAGATCATTTTCTGCTTTGTAGCAATTTGTATAATATAATTAATTCACTGTGTCTAAGGAAACCTTCTGAACCTGCAGAATTAGCCATGCTCTAGTTTGTATCATTCCAACAACCTGCAGCAAACATGTGACCTAAATAAGAAAGTTTGTTGTCCACTTACAGAAATATGAAGCTGTATATAAAAAGCAAAAGTAGCAGTGGGGAAGAGAAATAAAATTAAAAGTGTTATCCATGGTAACAATACATAAAGATTTTTTCTTTCTCTTTAGATACTGAAAGACATTTAGAAACCGCACAGGAACGCCTAAGGATATTGCTATTAATTCAGTTTATCCTGAAGTATGTAAATATAATATAATATAATATAATATAATATAATATAATATAATATAACATAACATAACATAACATAACACAACACAACACAACACAACACAACACAACACAACACAACACAACACAACACAACACAACACAACACAACACAAACACAACACAACACAACACAACACAACACAACACAACACAACACAACATAACATAACATAACATAATATAATATAATAATATACACTACACTACACTACACTACACTATACTGATTACAATCAAAGAGTTCCTCTGTGAGGGAGATGCTTCGTGCTTCCAGGAGCAATGTGAGATTGCAGCTGTCTCTTCCTTTTAACTGCTAGTGGGGGTGTGAGCTGATTGGGTGGGAACTTGGCTGTGTTCTTATTGGGTGGAGGTGTGTTCTGATTGGTTAGGGGCTTGGCTGTGCTCTGATTGGATGGGGGTGTGTTCTGTTTGGGTGGGGGCTTGGTTGTGCTCAGCTTAGTCTTATCTCATATATATGCATATTCTTTCTAGCCAGGTTTTACCTATGTAAGGTAAGATGTTCCACAGCCCTAGTTCTGTGAAATCTCATTCACAAGTTTCTGGGCTTTTTGTATCTTGCTGGAAAGCAACAACTCTACAGATATTAACTGTACACACATATATACCCATGAAAACTTACATAAATATATATATACACTTAATCTCTCCCTTGGCTCAAGTTGATGAAGGGAGGAGAACTTGTGGCTCAGAGGTTAATACAACTACCTAACATGCAGGCAGCCCAAGTTCGAATCCAAGTAAGGGTATGGCTAGCTGATGAGAGCTAAATAGCTTGAAATAGATCTATACTAGTCTCCCTTTATTTCTTTATCAGCGAAATATAAATTTGGTATAAAATGGTTTGTCGTGAAGGTGACTGCTTGAGGGCTCCTGGATTGGATTGGAGCTGAAAGGCGAAAGGGATGCAGTATGATCCCTCCCCTCCCACCAGGTGTCTCGATAGAAAAACACTTAATCTTTCCCCTGGCTCAAGCTGATGAAGGGAGGAGAACTTGTGGCTCAGAGGTTAATACAACTACCTAACATGCAGGCAGCCCAAGTTCGAATCCAATCCAGTTTATTGAAATAGCAATAGTAATAGTACTTAGGCTTATGTACAGCTTCATAGCAGTTTACAGAGTCAGCATATTGCCCCCAACAATCTGGGTCCTCATTTTACCAACCTCAGAAGGATGGAAGGCTAAATCAACCTTGAGCCGGTGAGACTCGAACTACCAAACTGCTGGCAACCAGCAGTCAGCAGAAGTAGCCGGCAGTGGTGCATTCTAACTACTGCGCCACTGCAGCTCAAATACATGAGACATCTTTGTGGTATGATTCTACCTCCAAGGATGATAGTTAATAATGTAGTTTAGGGTTTGAGGGAATCACAATAATAATGCGGGACATCATTATACACATGAGAAGAACAACGATTAAATGCATAGCTTTACTTTCCTATGGTAAGTATGAGTTTTAGGTGATACCTAAACAGAATTTCCACGCAAAAGCTGAAAGTTTGTTCTTTGGGATCACTACAACTGCACACTGTCCCACAGTGGGCCAGTTTATTTAGCTGTTCAAAGCATCAGAGTTTGTTTTTTGCTTGTTAGTTTTTGATAGATAATTTATTTGTAAAGTTTATATATATATATATTTTACTGAGCTGGAGCTACAAAAAAACCTTGGCTACGTAGGGAAAACCTGGCTAGAAGAAAAACATATATATATATATATATATATATATATATATATATATATATATATATGCATATTCTTTCTAGCCAGGTTTTACCTACTAGAAAGAATATGCACATAAAAGCCTACGAAAAAGGAAAAAAGATATATATATATATATAGATAGATAGATAGATAGATAGATAGATAGATAGATAGATAGCCAGGTTCTACCTACGTAAATCAAGATATTATGCAGCCCTAGTTTACATAGGTAGAACCTGGCTAAAGAGAAATACACATAAAACCTAGGAAAAAGAAAGAAAAACATATATGTGTATGTGTGTGTGTGTGTGTGTGTGTGTGTGTGTGTGTGTGTGTATATATGTGTGTGTGTGTGTGTGTGTGTGTGTGTGTGTGTGTAATTTTCCTTATGTATTTCTTCTCTTGAGAAATTCATCCCATAGTTTCTCATCCCATAGGAAAGATGAACTTTAGATTCAAATATTCAATGCCCAAGTTGTCTCAAAGAATGATAAGTAGATGGTACAAACAGTCAGTGAGGAATCCATCCAAGGGATACTGTAGAAGGGATGTTTAGAAACCCATTGGGGAGGAAAAGGACAATCATAATAAAATTATTTTGGCTTTTTCCCAGATTCTTCAGATGTTTTTCATGATATAGAATATCCAAATTCGCTTTCATTTTCATCATTCATTTTTGTAGCTTAAACATCAGATGTTGTTGAGAGCAGTTAAGTAAATACATGTATATTTTTGGTATTAATCTTCATCCAAATTACTTAAGAAATTAGCAAGATATTTTGGTACATGGCATATACAGAGTTATCTAACCATTTATACAAATTATTTATGACTTTGTTTTCAATAACCCCCACACACGTGTGTGTGTGTGTGTGTGTGTGTGTGTGTGTGTGTGTGTGTGTGTGCGCGCATATATGCATATTTCTCTTTGCTATTTCTTTAAAATTGAAGACTTTACATAAAGGATTAACCTTTTATTACCCATCATTCCTTTCTTTTTATTATCATGGATTCCATCCAGTAGCATTCCAGTAAGCCTATTGGTTTGTAGAGATTGTTCTTAAAATACAGTATGGAAAATAAGCAGGCAAATTTGTTGCCTTGGTATCCCATGGGGAAAAGCTACAGTTTAGATGCAGATGATGGAAAGAAATATAATATCACAGAAAGACGGCTTTCTCAGAGAGTGTCAGTAGCATTAATGTCATGAGCAAAGCACCTGTCTGTGACAACTCCATAGACCTTTCAATGGAAAATTGCACTTAATACATTTTAAAGTATGAGATGGTAATTTGGGGATTTGCTATATTTGAACTGAAGGATTGCATTTTTGCATGGGAATTTTGTTTAATTTTCTGGAATTACATAAAGAAAAAGAAAGGAAGGGGGAAAAAACCCCATACCACCTAGCACCAGAAACACTACGGCCTAGAGCCAACTGTCAACAAAAATCAACACTAATAGCACATCGCCTGTCACTGATTTATGTCATGATGTGGTAATCTTCTCAATTTAGTTGGATATTTTTTTCCCTCACACAAAAATTGCCAAAAGTCTCACTAGACGTTTTATAAATGTTGGGAGGTGCTATTACGATGGTAATGGGGCGATATTAAAGAAGTGTTCACTAGTTCAAAGTGCCAGTTAAAGAAATGGGGGAAAATGGAAAGATGTATACAAGGCCCTTTCAAAGTCTATAAGTAAATTATTTAATATTTCAGGTGTGCGTAAGATTTGAAGATGACATATGGAGTTTCCTAAAGACTGGATGGTTACAATAAAAGTGGTATTTACTTTGTCTCCTGGGAGAGGCACTTTTATTAATTGGTTAGAATGAAGGCATATGGCTTTTGGCTCTACAATCCAAGTAAAGACATAATGAGGCTTTCAAGTTACTGTTGAACTCCAGTTCCCATCAGCTTTAATGCTGAGGTTTGATGATAGCTGTATCTGATTATTTTTATTTTTATATTTATTTTCTTATTCTTATTTTCTCATTATTTTTATTTTATTTATATTATTTAGTACCTTGTTCTATTTTATTTATTATTAATTTTATTTATTATCTTAGTTTTTACTTATTAAATATTTTTATCTTAGTATCGGTATTATTTTCTTATTCCTCTTATTTTATTTAAGCATATTTCTATGCTGTTACAATGATGTAGAAGTCATCTTTACTTACGTATGTTTGTGTTAACTTCAACAGTTTTGAAATGCAGTTGTTTATCTCCAATTTTTTTTTGCCAGAATATACACCAAAAAGGAACTTCTTCATTTAAGTTTCTCATTTCTGGAAGAGCTAACATAGCATTATGCAGGATTTAATTTTGGCTACCACTCGCTACAGTTGGTCATCTCTCATGATATATCATTGTGTATTGTGCCAGGAATTCTGAAAGTATCAGCTCTGTCCTGACTCTTCCATGTCCATGTTGGGTTATATCAGGGGTGGGGAACGATGGACCTTTTATGACTTGTGGATTTCAACTCCCAGAATTCTGGGAGTCCAGGCTGGGAGAGGAGTCATATATCAAATGTCTCTCACAGCAAACTGGACTGGAAGGAAATAAATAAAAGGAATAAGTGACTCTGTTCTCAGATTAGTAATGTATATTAGTAATAAAATCAAAGTAACAAAAGAATTAAATCATTCTTTAAGAATTCTTTCAAAAATAAAAAAGATCAAAGTAACACAAGAATTCTCATGAGTACCATTTACTTTCAAATAAGAATTCATAGTATGTTATTTTTTCCTTCCTTCCTTCCTTCCTTCCTTCCTTCCTTCCTTCCTTCCTTCCTTCCTTCCTTCCTCCCTCCCTCCCTCCCTCCCTCCCTCCCTCCCTTTCCCTCTTTGGAGGGAAGCCAGCTTGCACTTACAAAATGTTTGGCCAATTGTCATTTTATAATGAGGTGTCCTTGGTGTTCTCTGGGCATGCTTGTTTTCTTGCAAACATTTCATTACCCTAACTAGGTAACATCATCAGTGCTAGTAAAGAGTGCTGTTTGCTGTCAGTTTATATTCTGATGTCTTGCCTGTTTGTGTGGGTGGGAGTGGTCTAAAGAGATTCTTTGGATGGGCTGTTTAATGATGGCTGTTTGGCAGTTTCTTGATATTTCTTACTTGATATGTATTTCTTACTTGATTGTTGGTCTGAAATTAACCTTGGAGTTACTCTATCTATCTAACTATCTATCTATCTATCTATCTATCTATCTATCTATCTATCTATTTTAGTCAGATTTATATGCCGCCATAAGACTGGGGGCGGCTCACAGCAATAGAACAACCCGACAATAAGTGAAAATTAAATAATATTAAAACCAATTTAAAATCCCCAAGTCCCCAAGTTAAAATCCGTGGCAAATCAGAGAAGTTGGTGGAAGAGCCATGTCTTTAGGTCGGCGCGGAAGGTGCGGAGGTCGGGGGCCATCCGGAGCTCGGTGGGCGTGTTGAGGGTAAAGCTGCCCTCTGCAAAGTGGCGCAACGGACCAGACAGCGAATAGATACGTTGCTTAGCAAAACACACAGATACTCACAGACCCTGAACATTTAAAGAAAAATAAACAGTCTTTACTTGTAGTAAAAAAAACAAAAAAACAAACAAACTTGGCTTCTCAAAACAAAGATAACACTTCTTCAAATAATCACGGTTCAACACAAAAACATAGTTTGCTTACAATTCCAGTTCCAGTTCTTCAGTAACACAGACACAGTTCCTTTCAGCAGTTCAACCTTCTAATAGCAGGAGCAGAAGTGAATGAACTTCCTGCCTTCTTTTATGTCTGCCTAGCACAGCCAATTAGTCATCTTGTAGCAGTTAAAGTTACAGAACATAGGTTTCTATATATTATCTACCCAACCATAGGATAATCATCCAACAGGGCAACCCATTCTAGAGGGTTGGTGCAGCCACAGAGAACACCCTCATCCTGGGGACCGCCAGCCGACACTGTCTAGCTGAGGGGACCTGGAGGAGGGCAGCCCTATGTGAGTGCACTGGGCGGTGGGAGGCCAGTAGGAGGTGATCCTGCAAATACCCTGGGACCATGCCATGAAGGGCTTTATAGGTGAGTACCAGCACCTTGAAGCGGACCCAGAGAACCACCGGTAACCAGTGCAGCTCGCACAATAGTGGTGTTATATGGGAGTAGTGGGACATACCCGTAACTACTCACACGGCCGCATTCTGAACCAGTTGGAGCCTCCGGGTACACCCCAAGGGCAGCCCCATGCTGATCTGAGTGCTGATTACTGGTGGAGAAGTGCTGAAGTCTTTTTCTCTTTTGGACTAGTTGATTGTCTCTTTTGCATAGTCTATAGATGTTGTTAATGTCTATGTGTCTATTGATGGCTGATTTGTCAGAGTGCCAGGCTTCTAGATCATTTTATAATGATCAAAATGGATAGGCCCCATAAGTAGCCATTAAGAATACTAGAGATGATGTGAACCTGCTGTCCGATGACTAGTGGGTGAAAGAAGTCCCATCTATTGAATTGTTCAGGAAAAATGCCAGGCTCAGTGCATGGTAGTTACCACACTATGTAGACTATAGTTCCATAGCTTGATTCATTTAATAGCTAATAGAGAAGGAAGAGATGAGACAGTAATATGATGCCATTGATTATTAAGTGATAATAACTAATTCCTACCTTTGTGATAGACTTAGACTTAGAATAACTTTATTGTCACTTTGAATGTATACTAATCAGTATACATTAAAATGAAATTTCATTGCATACAGCTCTCGAAAGGTCACCACCTCCAATATACACTACATAAACATTACTAAATAAATAAATAAATACAAAATTATGCATATATTCACATATATTATTTGACCTGGAGAAACAACACAGTCTAGTTCAGATGTATACATACAGTATACATGGTGAGCAAAACGAATCTTGCAAAGTTACCAGATGGATGGCATACGAAACAAAGCTGTTATAGAATCAGATAGTCCTGCTAGAAATACTTCGAAACCTCCCCCCCAGAGGGGAGCAACAGAAATAGGCTGTGAAGTGGATGTGTGAGGTCTCTAACAATGCTTTGATCTCTAAGCACATAGCGCTTATAAGCAGTATCTGAATAATGAGAACCAAACTTCCTACAATCTTCTCGGCTGTTCTTACCACTCTCTGAATGGACTTTCTATCTGAGGCACTGCAGCCACCAAACCAAACAGTGGTTTGGTTTGGGAGTTATACACTCTCAATTGTGCCTCTGTAAAAAGTGGCCAGGACAGAAGGAGAAAGATATGCTCTCCTCATCTGACATAGGAAATGCAGATGCTGGTTTGCATGCTTCACTAAGGATGACGTGTGGAGAGACCAGTTCAGATTGTTAGATATCTGCACCCCCAGATACGTAATACTGTTGATCACCTCTACAGCTGCATCCTTGATATTGAGTGGAGTATGACCACGCTGGCTCTTTCTAAAATCTATGATTATCTCCTTTGTTTTATTAACATTTAGAACCAGGTTACTTTTATTGCACCTCTTCCTATAAACATCTTCATTGTTGTCCTGAATAATACCCACCACTGCTGTGTCATCTGCATACTTCACAATATGATTTGTAACAGATTTGGCACAGCAATCGTGGGCTGTCCAGGTGAATAGTAGCGGACTCAAGACACAACCCTGTGGGGAACCTGTACTCAAGGAGATGGAGTTGGAAACTTTTCTTCCAACTTGCACAAACTGGGGCCTAAGATGATTGCTTTTGTTAGCAAAATCAAAACCAGAAGTAAAGTTTGCTAGGATCTGACATGGCAAGCTCTTGAAGAACTTAAACTCTTTAATAGTTTTACCCCCAAAAGAAAGAAGCACCAACTTATTGTGAAGCTGCCCAAATGAAATAATGAAATGATTTTGCACAGTGGCCGGCTTCCAAGAGATGAACCTCACCACAAGGTGCCAATCCAATGCCTGCATAAGCAAAAGCAGCATCACGGTAGAGCACAGACATGGGAATTCAGCACACTCCAACTTGCAATTATGAAGCAACAGAATTTATTGGGCATAGAAAATACTGTCACTAAACAGCTCAACGGTCCTCGGGAGTCCTTTCTGGCTTCCAAACATGCTGTTGCAGGCAGACAATTTCTTTTCTTCCAGGCTTTTATTAAAAACCAATTCGGGCAAATGCCGTCAGTCTAGTCAGCAAGAAAACCTGTAGAGCCACAGCTCCATAACTTCCCACGAGGTTCCTCCATGACATTTTAAGGTGTTAATAGCATGACAAAATGCTGCATTTCAACACTTTGTAACAAAAAAGGACCCTCTTAAGAGCAGAAACACACAGTCAGGCGAATCATGTGATATAGCTCTTGCTAGGCAGTTCCACCTCTGAGAACAGGTGGTGGTACCTCCATATTCCCTCTAATACATGGAAATAAAAATCCTAGCATGTGTAAAAATTTCATGCCAAAGAGAAAGCATTCTGGTTTAGGTTTTTTTTTTTTCCATGATATTCTAATATTCTGGCTGCAGGAAGGATATGCATAGGAATATTTCAAATATATTTTCGTAGTGGCATTCTCAAGTTAAGGTGTCATGTTCTCAAACTTTTTGATAACCTTAAGAATTAAATATAGATTAAGGATGGGGAATCAGAGGCCCTCCAAATATTTTTAAACTTCAGGTTCCAGCAACCCTCATTGGCTATTCTGGTTTGGGATTTTGGTACTATAGTTCAGCAATGTTTCAATTATGCTGCATTCAGCAATTTTTTTCTTTCATCCATATCAACATGGAAGTTAACTTAATATGTTACAATAATTTCCCAATTAGTATGGGGGTGGGGTGGGGGAGGAAGCTTTCCAAGAATTTACAGAGGGAAAAGTATTCTTGGAGGGAAATATCAATATTAGGAAGAGACATATGAACATTCAAATTAGTTCTAAGCCACTTTATACTTCGGCCTCTACTGATTATATCACTGGTGTGTCTAATGTAATCAGAGTATCCCATGACTCTTAATATAAGCATTGGGGACAAGAGATGCTGCAGAAGGACATATTTATATTATTGAGAGATCTCTGGGACCTGAGGTAAGCCATGTGTTTGTTTTCTAATTCATATCTATTTGAGATCCACAGCAGATCTCAGGTATGAGCAGGTTTTGTTGATTTGTGTCACAAAACCAAAATTTTTAGCTTCACTTCTTTGTGAGCTATCAACGTTTTGCCTTCCCTTGTTTAATAGTCCCTCTTCACCCTCATGTTCTGTCCTGTTTTATACACATATACATCTATCAAAAACTGTTCTAAATCCTTCCATAGCTTACATTTACATGGGCAGGTTCCTTGCTTCAGACCATCTTCTGCATGAAAGTTATAGAACCTGGTTCTGTTTTGTTTCTAAAGCAGAGAAGGTGAATGCTAGTTGCAATTATTTATCTGTACTACACTGTACTACACTGAATGTGCATGTGGGCGGAGGGGGGAGGAAGAAATGCATTCATGGACATGGTTTCCCATGTGCACAGAGAGCCTATGATCATATAAATAGTATATAACCACGCAGACTATATGGATATAGTGCAGAATTCATAAGCACTTCCCCATCATCCTCTTTGA